CAGTCAAAGCGATTCCTAAGCCATGCAAGCGGCCCCGGTAACAGAGCAGCGGCCAGCTGGTCCTTCCTATTGCGAGAGTGAGTGTCTCAACAGAAGCACCAGTAGGCCCTATGGGGTAAAGCCCTAGTGAGCAACATCTGAACTTCATAAACAAATGCAAACGTGAATGAGCTTTAAATGGCTTGGAGCTCTGGATTAGACTACCCCTGCCACTGTGCCCCAGGAAAATTCTTTAACATCTCTGTACCCCGATAGCCTCATTTTATTATTATGTTGCTGTTAGCTATGATCTAAAACATGAACTATGATTCTTTACTTCCATTTCACGGACCAGGAATCTGGAGCTCAGAGAACTTAGAAGATTTGTGCCATGTCACGTGGCTTTTATGTGGATGACAACCAAAGTGTGTGACTCATTATTTGGAGATAATAATAGAAACAACGTCATAGAGGTCTCCTTAAGGATTAAATAAATTAATCCATGTGAACTGCTTAAAATAGTATCTGGCATCTCTATGAAAACAAAAGAAGTATTAAGGATCACAACTCTTAGTATTATTAAGCCGTCGATGCTACATTAGGTGTTGTGATACACATGGGGGGAAGGAGGCAGTGAGGACATTTTTGATATTCTCCCACTCTTACCAGTGTTCACATCCATGAAGGGACAAAGGTTCTCTGGTCCTTTAGATTTGAGAGATACTCACTTTCAGGAAGATTCTCTGTAGCCTGCTGAAAGTCATCTGAGGACGTTCAACTGAAAGAGAATACATCAGAATTTTTCTTGGTTGGTAAAGATTTCCAAACTTCAGAGAGACTTCTGTCGCATGAGGGCATTCTGCAGCAGAGGGTTATGAGTGCACTCATTATTGAGGAGTTATTTGAGATTTGCTTCTGAATTATGTTTAGTCATGGTTGGTCCATTTATCTGTGGGATCAGTTCAGACTTGTCCATCTTCATAGTTTATCAAATGGGAACTAAACTCCATCATAGTCTCATCTTATTCCATTACATATCTTTTACTTTTTCCCAAATAATTAAATTAAATTGATTGGTTGGGAATCTGAACTGTATCCACTCAAGAAGTACAACTAAAAATCACTGTACACTTCAAATGGGTGAATCTTGCGATATGTCAATTAAGCTGTTAAATGTGTGATGAATCATGGATGATTTAGTCCAGTGGCTCTGAAATATTTTCAGTATAAAGACACTCTTTTAATATCAAAAACTTGGCAGATACTAAAGCACTGGATTTTCAGACCTCTTATAGTGATTGTGGGAGAATGTAGAATCTGACCTGTTTAGTTGGGGCGTAATAGGTCTATTGGAGACAGTTTGGACATTCTGACCTTGTCTTATAATTGTGTTGTCAGAGCAGAAGAGCAAGTAAACACATATGTCCCCTTAATAGTCCTGAAATGCACAAAGCTCTCTACGCAAAGGGATCACTCTTTCAAACTCACTTCCAAGCTCATCACGGAGAATTGGGGTTGTTTGGGAATGAGAAGAGTATTTGGTTTTGATAAAATACAGAAAAACAGTGATCTTTATTACATAATGTGTCCATCACCCTCACTCATAAGATACCTATCCAATACCCATATGCTGTTAATGAGACAAACTCTGGAAGTTTTTGGCGGATCTACAGTTTTAACATTTTCTTTCTTTTTTTCACTTGTAACATTTTCTTAATTGTCCTTTGATTCATTAACAGTGCTTAGAAGAACAACATGTTCTTTAAAAAAGAAATATTTCAA